TTCATCCCATTTTCTTAATTAAGTAACTTGAATTAAGTTTATTTTTGCTTTGGGTTTCCTTACATTTACAAATATAGTTCATCCTAACCATTTTTGAGGAATGTATGAACAAATATTGTTTTACTAAATGAGTATTTTAAATCAAATTCAATTAACTCAAATCTAATTCTAAAAAACTTGTGTCACTATCACAGGCAAACAAGAACTTAAAATTTACCTTATAATACTTGCTAATCCCATACAAATTCGCAATGTAACCACTACACGTGCGGTTAAAGTCGGTTCTGTCCGTTAATTGCCTGCCAGTGCCAGGATTCTCCGGAGCCACCGCATGCACAGGCCACAGCAGGTCAGACTGTACAGTTGGAAAATAGCTCTTGTTACTGCTACATAAGATACTAGATAGTTAAGCTTGATTTAGTACGAGAATTTACAAGATTGAGGCTTACAAATTGATCAGAAAGCATAGTTTGAACATTTCAACATTCAATTGTTTTTTAATGCTGAACAAAGCAGGTATTTGACCGCAATAAGTGTAACCTGTAAGTGCCTATTCACTCTCGTTGTTTACAAAAAATAATAATATTAACACTTAGGCCGAGTTGCACCACCTAACTTTGACCTTAGCCGGTGTATTTTGTATGGAGTTTGACAGATTTTTGACGTTTGTTAAACTCAAAGTAAAATGGTGCAACCCACCCTTAGACATAAGCTAGTGTTTTAAGTGTAACTAGCGACCAGCCCCTGCTTCGTACAGGTACAATGTACTATACTTCAAATCTTCCTCTTGAATCACTCTATCTATAAAAAAAACCGCATCAAAAAAGTTTTAAATATCTAAGCATACATAGGGATACACAGACAGTAAAGCAACTTTGTTTTATAAATATAGTGTTGATTTAGTGATTAATAACGAATTTTGTTATTCATAATGTCAAGTTTAATACCAATTTCTTCCGTCACAAGCAACCTGTTAGCAAACTTGTTTAATACTGTCATGAAACGCGGTTTCCCCCTACTTTTTGTGAAACGATAAGACCCTATCTCTCGAGCGGCCTCATTTTTATCGTGGCCAAGTAATTTGTGTGAGTAATCCTGCCACATCTTTGATGACGTAATTGAGACCTTCAGAGGCGGGTCAGCCGCTATTTTGTGACGTCATCACTCTTAATACTGATTAAGCTTCTGCCTTCTTTCATTTAGTGACAGTTACACGTGTATACGATATACGTAAGTATATATCGTCCATCATTAAGTGTGCATTCTTATTTTCTAAGAGATTTTTTTTGTCTTTAGTTAATGTTGACATAATAATTATACACAGTCTAGAATAATGTACCCAACGAAAATGGTAAAATAATATTTTAAATTATAGTTCTTTGTGAAGAGAAAAGAGTACCCAAAATAGGCTTTAAAGTGCGTTTTATTTTTAAAAAAGGGTTTCGTCAATCACAAATAAATCAGTCTATTTAAAATGAGTATGATAAAACAAGTAGATAATGCTTTAGAAATGCTTATAGCACTAGTCTGGTAGAGCCGATTTCACAGCTGGATAAACATTACATACTCGTATGTATATAGGTATTATAATAACACTAGGTGCAGACTGAGGTGAATATCTCATAGGTATGAAGTATTAAACAAGACAAACAACATGCAGGTGTAAGGACCAGATTATGTATTTTCACTTTGACCGAACACGATCTTATAAGTGGTGGATGGCCCACCAGTGGGATTGCTTGGCGGGTCCCTAAAGATGAAATATACTTATTGGTTATTGTACAGTCTATTTAGTTACTAAATCCCAAAGCGAAGAAGGCTTCATTTTGTTAAATATGTTACGCAGGAAACAGTGAATATGGACAAACTTCTTTTTAATGTTATTTTTGGTTTTGCTTTGAGTTTGTCTATTTACTTTGTTTGTTGCATTACAAATGGCGTACTTCTTCCTATTTTCTGTTTCTGCACGTTTCTTCACAAATTAACGTATGTTTAATGTTTTATGAAAACTTTAACATTAAGTTTATGAAAACTTATATCCTAATATACGAGTATTAAGGTAGCTGCACACCTACCTTGATATAATTTTTCAGCTTTGCAATTAGGTCGCTTAGTATTAAATAAAATCGCCCATCATCCAAACTCCCATTCATTTGGAACGCTGTGACATTATGACATAGATATTTATGGAATTTCATTCCATTAGAGCAGCTTAGATTTACGAGCATCAGTCATGCTCCGTATTGATCTGCGGACAATTGGCTAAAACGGCTTTTTATGGCCCAAATGTTGGCCTGAGTGCACACGAGAGGACGGCTGGAAGAAAATACATTGGGTATTTCTATATTTTGTCTAGCTCGATGGAAAGCTGTAGTGTCAATAGGCAGGGCACATAGTACACCGAACTGACGGCCGATGGGGCAGCAAGGTTCTGGAGTGGAGGCCACGTACCGGAAAGCGCAGCGTAGGACGTCCACCCGCAAGGTGGACCGACGACATCATAAAAGTAGCAGGAAGGCACTGGATGCAGGTCGCCACCAACCCGCCATTGTGGAAATCATTGGGGGGAGGATTGGGTTCAGCAGTGGACGTCCTATGGCTGGATAGATAATGATGATGAGGATTTCTATTTAAGCAAGGCTGGTTCGTCTAACAATGGCCAGTTGCTCACAAAAGTTCCATCTTGGAGAAGTAGCTTTATAAACTGTACTTTGCAATAAATTCATATCTTATGAGTGGCTTTTGTAATAAAAAATAACAGCTTTATGTAATAAAAAGGGAAAAAATACAATTACCAACAGAAACAATTTCAACAATTACACACAATGGTAAAATAATCAAACATCCAAAAGAAATAGCTGAAGTCTTCAATGATCATTTTATAGATCAAGTAGCTCCACTACAAAATCGTATGGATGATAATAATAAATCGGAGTTGAACTTGACAGAAAATTCCATTTACATGTATCCTACCATACCCCATGATATTTATCTAATAATAATGTCTTTAAAAAATACACAAAGCTGTGGCTATGACAATATCACAACAGAGGCTGTTAAGTTTGTTGCTCCGATTATTGCTCCTGTACTTAGCTATATAATAAACCTATGTATAGAAAAAGGTTACTTTCCCGATGAACTTAAAGTGTCGATTATAAAACCACTTTTCAAGAAAAATGACAAACTGAATATTAATAATTATAGACCTGTAGCATTAATTCCCATCTTTTCTAAAATCATAGAAAAAGTAATACACAACAGATTCAGTAACTATTTCGAAAAAAATAAAATTTTAACCAAGGAACAGTTCGGATTTAGAAAAAATAAAGATACAAATCTAGCAATATATAATTTTCTTACTAAGGTTTTTGAATGTGTTGACAAAAAAATACCCGTTATTGCATTATATATGGATATGACCAAGGCCTTTGATTATGTTAACCACACTTTACTCTTGGAAAAGTTATATGCGTGTGGAATTAGAGGTAATGTGCTGGACTTAATGGAATCTTACCTAAATAACAGACAGCAAGTAACGTGTATAAGTAGAATCTGTCCTAAGTCATTAATAGACAAACGCTATTTCTCAAAAAGAAGACATGTTGCATATGGTGTACCTCAAGGCAGTATTCTCGGACCACTACTGTTTTTGGTATATGTGAACGACTTACCAAAAATATCCCCATATCCTATGACATTGTTTGCAGACGACAGCACTATATTATTCATGAAAAATGATGATGCAGACTCGCTTAAATCGGAAATCGTAAAAACTCTAAAAGACATAGTAAACTGGCTGACACTGAATAATATTAATATAAATTTAGATAAGACAAATTTAATGACATTTAAAAATCATTCGAATTCAACTAACATTGACATTCTATTTGACAATAAAAAGATTAATGAAACTGACACCACAAAATTTTTAGGCATTTGGTTAGACAATAACTTAACCTGGAAGACTCACATTGATGTTATTTGTAAAAAACTAAACCAGTACTCTTACGCCCTATACAAACTATCTAAAGTAGTGAGCCAGTCCACAGTGTTAATCGCCTACCATGCATACGTCTCATCGACTATCCGCTATGGTATTATATTTTGGGGAAACTCCACTGATAGAGACGTCGCTTTCAGAGCACAAAAGAAATGCGTAAGAGCAGTTTGTCAACTTAAACCTAGAGACAGCTGTAAGCCCCATTTTAAATCATTGAATTTGTTAACTCTTCCATCAATATATATAGAGGAAATATGTTTATTCGTTCGTAAAAACCCAAGTATGTTTCCTACTCATAACAGCAAACGTCACAAAAACAGGATATGCGCACAAATCCACAAAACGACTCTTTTTACGAAAAATATTTCAGGAATGGCACTCCGTATTTATAATAAACTGCCACAGGGTATAAGAAATAAGGAGGACTTATTCTCGTTCAGGGAATGTCTTCATAAGTTGTTGGTAGATAAGGCGTATTATTCGATTAGCGAATTCCTCCTGGACAGTTTCATGTGTTTGTAATGTATGTAGTCCAAATCTAATACTTTTGACATACCCAGTACAATGTAGTTGACATTATATAGGTAATTTTAGTATTTTTAATTTATTATTTTTGACTTGACATTAATGTAATTATTGACCCTGAGTTGTCTGACATTAGTTTTTATAAATGTGAATTATATTTTGTTAATGAATGTAAATGACAATTACAGTAATAATTTTGCATGCCTAAAGGTGGAAGATGGAGATACCTACTTGAAAAATTGTAACACCTACTGATGTAAACCCATTTTCGCAAAATAAATGATTTGATTTGATTTGATTTGAAATGTTGTATGGATTGAAGTATTCGGCCCCTACAACATCTTTGTAACATTATAAAATGCATGAAAAAAAGCGAGCGGTCTGGGGGTCGCGAAATATTTTTTCATGCTAGGGGGGTGGTGTCATGAAAAAGGTTGAAAAACACTGAGAAAGTGACTAGACTCGAGTCTCTTGTCTAACCTGCGAACTGCCACTCAGGGTCGACCTCATACTCCTCCATATTGGCCATCCAGTTGTACCAGTACGGGTTGGCTGGTTCTCCGTCATCAGTCGGGTCAGTGAAACCTCCATCGTGTAATCTAAGAAATAAGCATAATATTTCATTGCTTGTTGTCTATGTATTTAATAACACGTCAGTGCACTGATATGATAACTCGGAGTGCCTACATAAAGCAGAAACCATATGTTCAAAGATTTAAGACTACCAATTTTGTAAATACATATTCCCGTATCCTATAACCAATGCATTATCAACTAGGAACATTTATTGGTGACTACTTGTCACACCCTGTATTACAACAAGCCAGTTACGTATCGTCACAGTCCCGTTAGGAAAAGAGCGGATTCATAATGTATTCCGACGATCACTTCTCTCATCATAACAGGCTAAGGCTAATGCCCGTTTTTACCATCAATCCCTATTTTTTAAGTGACCCCTATGGTAACACATAGCAGGAATTTTGTTTTCAAAGGGGTCACTTAAAATTAGGAATTGATGGTGAAAACGGGCATAAGAATACAGTACCATCAAATAGAACAGAGATTTAGTCAGTACAATATTGCGATTTCTGATACACAGAAAATAAAATGGGGATGAGATTCTCACCGTGACAATATTGCAACGAGCTATTATTTATTTATTACAAGACAATTACAATTAGGGCTATCGTTTTAGCGCTCACCAGTTAGCGCCACTGTAGAGTAAGGTCCTGTCACTTGCTAGTAGCGAAGACAGTGGCACCAACTGGTGAGCGCGAAAGTGGTAGGAGGACTATCGTATTTGCACTCATCAAGATGGCGCCACTGTAGAGTAAGGTCCTGTCAATCGCCAGGGGTGCCAACTGTTAAGTATAAAAACGATAGCCCTCATTACAAGCTTTATGTATCACAAGAAGCAACTCACGTATAATCATACACGCGTCCCTCCTTAGGGAACAGCGGCTTCAGTCCGTTCTCCTCGGTGAGCTTGCGCATGAAGTCGGAGAATATCGCGCGCCCGTTGTGGTCGCACGTTGCGCCCACCGACCATATAACCGCCCACACCACCCAGCACGGCGCTAGTTTGGCTGCAAGGTGACAATAAACACACTTTTTAGTGTCTAAAGGCTGTTCGCCGAGAGTTGATAAAAAAAATTTATATCAGAGGTTCTAAACTCATTATAAATTGCGGCCCGCTAATTATGAAAAAGTCGATATAATGAAAAAGTTGGTAGATTATTTGGCCTGGCCTTTTTTTTTGGCCTGGATTCTCGGCTTGGTTACAATTTAATTTTGGACTACCATTTATAAGAATGTTCTAAAATACCAATTATCTACCAAAATCTACTAAACGATTTCGCACTACTAAATCATCGTTCTCTTTGCCTCAAATCTACCAAAAAAGTAGGTCACGCTGTGGCCGCCGCCGCCCGCGGCCGGGGCGCTTGACGACAGCTGCGTGGCTCGTACCATGGTACTCAGTGCGCGTTGTGACAAACGACGCCCGCCATACAGAATGCGATAATTAAGCGACAGTCGCTATTGCAAGACATTTCATAATATTTATCAACTCTCGGCGAACAGACTTTAGACAGTGGTAAAACTCACGTAGTCTCTTACCCAGGGGGCGTAATGTTAGTTTACGTCAAACGCATTCGATGTCGATTGCGTAAAAGTGACGAAATGTATGACGGATTGTACAGCGCCCCTAGTGGAAACTTTCAAGTACTAAAATCTTCATATATTTTTTTAACGCGCTCGCCAGTGACGACTATTGATGTAAAGTCACACTAAGCCCTCATGTTCGATTCTAAGTGGCTGCAAGTAAGGCTTGTTTTTAATCCGCTTGATAAGAGTAGGCGCACACCATTGATTTTTAGTTGGCCGATAGTTGTGCCCGATTTCAAATTGTATGAAGAATCGGCCAAATCGAATCGGCGTAGTATGCGCACTGCCATACATGCCCATACTGATCAACTGCCCGACTAAACTATCGGTCGACGAAAAATCAACGGTGTGCGCCTACTCTTAACCTTGACAGCTGGGGAAAGGATAGCCAGTTCCTATATGGTTGAAGATTCTGGGTGAAGCTGTGAAATGCAGTCCAAGATCTTCCCCGTAGTGGTTAAAATAATGAATCACAGGCGACACTCAACTCCAAACACTGCAGTACCAGCTGCGAGTCAATGTAGACAGCTCCCCTTACTCACTAGGCTATAGAGTTAATTTGATCGCGCTTTTCGCACTTGCTACGTCACTAACTAAGGACACTGTGTAAGCGACACTCACGTAGCATAGCAATAAAAGCGGCCCCAGGCGGCGGGCGGTCGTCCTTCCCAGTCAGCGGCCGCATGCGATAATCCAGGAGTTCTAAACACTTCAGCACGAGCTGCGAGTCGATGGACACACCTCCTCCTACCTCATAGACTACAGATTTAGTACTACACTAGTCTACACTCACGTAGCATAGCAATGAAAGCGGCCCCAGGCGGCGGGCGGTCGTCCTTCCCAGTCAGCGGCCGCATGCGGTAATCCAGGAGTTCTAAACACTTCAGCACGAGCTGCGAGTCGATGGACACCACCAGCTCCGTCAGCCGCGAGCGAAGCAGCGTCAGCGACGGGTACAGGTAGTTCGTGATCAGGTTGGGGAAGTATTTGCGGAGGCTTTCGCCTATCTGAAGTGAAAAGAGGTATATCCACATCAATATGTGTGTTACATTACACAATAGTTACTACCTACGAAAGTACGTGTAATATTGAAAGATGTTTTAGAACACACAGCAAGCAAAACGTTGCTTCACATAGGAGTTAATTCTCTACGAGCGAAATAAGAACCTAAACAGCGGTGGCTACGTGTCATGTACGAAAGTTTTCAGAATACATGGCAAACAAAATGTTACTTCACGTAGGAGAGTTAATTCTACGACCAACTCAAACATAAACCTTGAAACCGCCTAGTTGTACCTTGTGTGTTCCTTTTCTTTCTGTTCTGTTATTTGGTGTGCAATAAAGAGTATTATTATATTATTATTATGAACTCAAATGCCGATTACAAAAATACCAAATCTAAGTTTTAAATCACCGTTGGTAGCATCGATCTGCTGCTGCAGGTATCCTAGTATTCTTCTCCACGACCTTCCCTTGTTTCGGCTATCTTGTGATGATGTAAACATTGTTGACGTCATCCAACATACTCACTGGCGGCAAATTTACGTAGATGACGTCACAGGGGCGGCCGGCCCACGACCCTCGTGTCCAGGTGCACCTAAACGGGACTATTCCCACCTCTCGTTCCCACCACTGCAACTCCTGTGTAGCCAGGATCTACAGCTTGACCGCCACAAAAACCCAACCAATGAAGGTCAAGTTTGTCCCGGGGGAAAGTTAAACTGTCATTGGACGGGTCCAATGACAGTTTAACTTTCCCAATCCCAATCCCAATAATTTGATTAATTTCGTTGCGGGNTATAAGAAATAAGGAGGACTTATTCTCGTTCAGGGAATGTCTTCATAAGTTGTTGGTAGATAAGGCGTATTTTATTCGATTAGCGAATTCCTCCTGGACAGTTTCATGTGTTTGTAATGTACCTATGTAGTCCAAATCTAATTCTTTTGACATACCCAGTACAATGTAGTTGACATTATATAGGTAATTTTAGTATTTTTAATTTATTATTTTTGACTTGACATTAATGTAATTATTGACCCTGAGTTGTCTGACATTAGTTTTTATAAATGTGAATTATATTTTGTTAATGAATGTAAATGACAATTACAGTAATAATTTTGCATGCCTAAAGGTGGAAGATGGAGATACCTACTTGAAAAATTGTAACACCTACTGATGTAAACCCATTTTCGCAAAATAAATGATTTGATTTGATTTGATTTGATTTTGAAAGCTGACCATCATCTTGTCCTAATATTTACGTAATGACACTTTGCAAATTGATTGGAAGAGAGTCATTATAATAACTATGATATTGTTTTTTGTTAAAAGTACGGCGAGAGCTAAAACGCTTTTCCGGGAAAAATAAAATTTTTGTTCAGTGAGTTTTCCTATCCGTTATACTTTCGGTGCACAGATTGGTCTAAAACTTTCCCATATAGGTAGATTCTTGGCACTTCTAGGATTAATCTTAAAAATAATTTTGGGACACACAAAGGAGCTCTTAGCCAAATTGATAAGAGAATGAATTCTGTGAATTTCTATTCTCCATGCCGCCCTAGCCTTACTCCGCCCGCCCAGTGGGCGATATGTCGCAGTAATGGGCACAGTGGGCCGCCTGCGAAGGTTAATGTCTATCTCTACTTGATAATGATATGTAGCTAAACTTGGCATCGGCAGATTAATAAAATTGCACTTAAGGGCGCGAATTCTTGCTATTAAGGTCAATGGGTGACAGATATTGGCAGCGACGCAAAATGTAGTTCTAATTATGATTAAGAATGTCGTTTGGGATTCTGTAACGAATTTAGGGGTAGTTAGTGCTAAGTGGTAAAGCAATCACCCGAGGTCGAGGGTTCGTGTTCCTCAAGAAACGATGTTTAAAGACAAAAGTTATAATCTTAACTTTATGTATTGATTTTACGGTAATAGTTATTTTTTGTACTTTTTTTAGTATTCCGTCCCAAACGAATTCAGTAAGCTTGTGAATAATAATGGTGTACGTAATAAAAGATAACTAAAGGATATTTTATCTATGATTATTTTCGACGTCAATATTCGTTCTCTGTATTTGTTTGCAAAATAACTAACGTCTATTGGCGCCGACTAAGTTCGATCTTATTTCCACTGCACGTATTTGCAACAACATTCATCTTGCAAAAGTATTTCCTACTTCCTACAGAAAGTATTCAAACAATATTTAGATACAGATCTGGGGAGGAACTATCAGAAGGCAGTTGTATGAGTAAACAGTGCATGCTACGTAAATCAGGCGAGATTTATCTCTCACACATAAATTTGTATGATTTATGCTCACTACAATCCGTTCAGCATTGCTGAGATGCTACAGTATTTTATCTTTGTTATGTCAAGCGTACGAGCGGAATGATTAATACTTTTTTAGGGAAGTCAATATCAACGAAAAACAAATATTCGTCTCTATCGAAATTAGATACCTACTTTAGTATGCGGAGTAGAAGGGATATTGTAGTATTATACGTCAGAATGGCGAGTGTATTGTCACAGAAATGAATATAATGAATATGAAATAAAGCTATCTATAATGTACCTTCATGTACTCGTAACCTCTAATTATTTTTGTTGTACCTCCATAAAACGGGAACAATTACAATTACAAAATGAGCCGCTAACCTGACGTCAGACTGGCGATATTCTGACGTTCACAATAAAAGAAGCAGAAGGAAAAGAGCATTCAAAGTTTTTCACAATAGACTCACATATTTTCACAAAAAAGCGCATTGGGTCATTTCCGGCCAGTATTCAGTTCTAATGCATGTCAGATTTATTTGTTTTCTATTAAAATTCTATCATGCTCGACTCTACAACCGTTTAGGTAATTTCCCCATGACCTAAGCTCTTGAGCCTGGAATTCTGGTCAAGCCCGTATCGATTATTCTGGCTCTAGGCATCTCTCAATGCCCCAATGCCTCTTGCCTCGAGTGTGTCTGCTCTCAACACCATCTTACCTTCATGGCTATGATACATTTAAAACACATTCACTGCCTGAAATAATTTTATATTAACATATTTACGTGCAATTTCACCTCATAGTAATAATATGATTGCAATTAATTTTGTCAGATTTTTTAGCAAGACGTATAAGTGTAGCGCTAAACTCATTTAGTGCCTGAGGTTAGTGGAATGTCAAACTCATAAAACTCATTTATTTTTAAATAGGCTTTTAAAAAGCACTTTTACACGTCCCAGCATTAACCCTACCACTGCTTCGGGGCAATAAATGGGCCAGTGCTGCAGAGAAGAAGCAGCGCAAGAAACGTCAGCGAGACTTTCAGATCTACTTCAGAATTATATGCTTTGTCACGTTCAATATGTCAATGTCACCCCTCCCGTGCCGTACCCATGCCTCCGGCACTGATTGGGTTAAGCTAGACCTGTAGTAACTAAACTTGAAATTAAAACATTTCCACAATATTGCTACAGCCTCATAAGAAGTTCACACATTGTGCTTTAAATGAAGAGCATTCCGATTTTTTCAGTATAAAAATGTGTGAGATTATAACCTAGAAAAGGGGTGCTTTTATACGCAGCAAATGCCATTAAAAACCAATTTTGAATCTAGTCAGGGAGCCACAGCGCGTAATTGAGATTTGTGTCTCACACGCTACGGACCAAACAGTGCATGTGCAAAGGACCATTTGGAAAACTGAAATTCGTGTTATGAAAAAAATATATACGACGATAAAATAAACGATGCTTTACGTATGTTTGTAACAAAACTCCTCCGATTTGGCTTGACCTATTTTTATAAAATTTTATATCATGTTTGTTTTAGTGTGTTAGTAGGTCTAGAATAGGACGTAAGCAATTTTTAATTCCTGTAGGTGATATGTAGGCGTTTTTCACGCGTATGAAGTCGCGGTCACAGTTAGCTATATTAGAACAACAACAATTTAAACTCATACTCGAATTATCCTTAAAACCAGTAAGTTAAAATGTTAACATGGATATTCGTTATCCAGGTGTAAAATGCTATTTATTTTATATACATAACTCTCAATAACGCAAAACCATTGCCTTACTTCTTGTGTATTTTTGGAAGGTTAGAATATTATTTAAAATGAATGAAATTAACCTTTACCAAATATAACTGCTATAATAAATATGTTTTGATGATCCTAAAATAACAGGACAGTACCTTAATTATGCTTTCAGTTCGCAAAAGCTTATACAAATTGTTTGTTCTATTTCAAAGTTCATTGTCGCCTGACATAGCTAAAACAATGTGTACGGTCAGAAGAAAAACTTAGGCTGAGTTACACCATCTCATTTTGACTTTAACAAACTTTAAAAATCTGTCAAACTCCATACAAAAAGCACCGGTTATTGTTAAAGTTACGGGGAAAGTAAGTTAGTGCAACTCAGCCTATGGAACATAAAAACGACATTAAGTAACTGTTAATTGGTTAATGTTGGAAATAATATAGGTAAATTGATATAGCACGGTATCGGAATTACCTATCGCAACTTTTTTTCCAAAATCAATGCTACTAATACGACAGAGAAATCTCGGGAAAATTGTCGTAGTTCATGGAACAAACTTATTGGAACGATACGAGTCAAGATTAATAAAATTAGGCTGGGTTGCACCATCTCATTGTAACTTTGACAAACGTCAAAAATGTGTCAAACTCCATATAAAACACACCGGTTATCGTTATAGTCACGGTTAAAGTTAGGTGGTGCAACTCAGCCTTAGTCTTTATTAGTAAAAAGAATTTTAAGACATGTTTCACATTGCCAGTATATTAGTTTAACTCTACTTTTGCTGACTGTATTCCCAAACAAAAAACGATGCATTCCGATTTCATCCTATTTCAAATGTGGAAAGGTTGAAAACGGAACGTAACATCAGCATTTTCCTTTTCTCGTAGAATACCCTGTACCATGAACACAAAAACGACTCCAAATCATATTTTTTGCGACAATCTCCATACAGCAAAGCGAAAGAAGATTGTAATGATAATTTCTAATAGATAGTGGTAGAACCCAGCTCGTGGGAACCCAAGTTGTATGTTATCTGTAGAACTGTATTAATTATACAGTAATTACCTCTAATTACCGCTTTCGTGTCTTTAGAAGAGGTTGTAATTACGATGGTGTTGAAAAAGGCATTCAATCATATAGGAGTGCCTCGGTTGAGATTTATTTCAAAGCAATAGGGAACATACAGAAGCACAGAGTTGCACAGCGTGCTATGGAGAAGGCTATGCTAGGTGTTTCTTTGCGAGATCAAATCATAGATGAGGAAATCCGTAAACGAACTAAAGTCGCTGACATAGCCCGACGGATTAGCAAGCTGAAGTGGCAATGGGCAGGGCACATAGTGCGCAGAACTGACGGCCGATAGGGCAGCAAGGTTCTGAAATGGAGGCCGCGTACCGGAAGGCGCAGCGTGGGACGTCCACCTACAAGGTGGACCGACGACATCGTAAAGGTAGCAGGGAAGCGCTGGACGCAGGCCGCTACCAATCGATCAACGTGGAAAGCATTAGGGGAGGCCTATGTTCAGCAGTGGACGTCCTATGGCTGAAATGATGATGATGAATACGGAAAGCTTGGAATGAAACAAAATCACCTACACTATGAGGCTTTTTAATAGTTATATTAAGATCTTTTTATATTTTTTTTTTAATAACTACTGCAAACATCAACCTTCATCAGTCCACTCTGCTCACTATTCCGAATATATTAAAAAGTATGGTCGTAGAGCTACTTAAAAAAAAACAATAACGTAGCAGGTAGAGTCCAAAAATATAGTTTCTACGATTCCTGACAAGACTATCTTATTATTATCCTTATATCGTCATATGCAATATAACTAATAGACCCTTCTCCAAATATCAATTTGAGCTATGTTGGATCAGAAAAATGGTCAGTGTTCATTACTGTTCTTTCCCTAATAACGCCCGTATTTACAAACATTACTATGAGGTCTCACAGTGCGTGTGGTGGACGCACAATGTGACACATGAACCAATCACAGAGCTCTATTCAACGCTGTGCGTTGCTGCTTTACTTACAAAAACATCCTTTGTGAATACGGGTGTAGTGATGATATTTGAAAAATTCCCTACCTACCTTCTTTTTGTTTTTTGATCTATTCGTTTCTAGCCGGCAAATCTCATCTCGATAAAAATGAAACAATATATTTACAGAGAAAAGCTTCGTGGAAATCTGTGAAAAGAATTTCTAGGAGCTGAAAAAAGAGAGTTTGAGTGATTCCAAAATGGTATCAGGTTATTTTTTTTAAGGTAATATTTGAGACTTACTCCTTCAGGTACCTACTTCTTCAGGTTGTTTATTTATTTATTTATTCATGAATAGAACGGTAGTACCAATTACACTATTCAAACAAGACATCAATTTGATTTTCATTTATTTTTTGTGTTCTCTGTAGCTTACTGGTTAAGGAGTCTCTCGATTTTGGAGTCATGGGTTGATATTCAGACTGAATCAAGAGATTGAGAAATGATTCTGAGTAAATTTTTATTTAATCCAAGTTTGGTCAGTTCATTACAATTCACATGACGAAATATGTGGCAAATGTTAAACTTGAATAGGTGAGATGACAGATCTTTTAACTTGGAACTTTTCAAAGTTTAGTAGCTAAAGTTTTTAGTTTCTAGTTCTATCGGCATAAAAAAGCTTTTAACTTCGAGTATAGTCATTTTTTCGTACCTACGTGATCGAAGTCAGGCACATCTCACAATGTGTATTGATTCCATATCGATATCATTGAATAGAGTCATTGGCTTCAAACTTCTCATAACAATCAAACGATAAATCCACGGACAGATCGCTGGAACTAAAACAATGAGATGGCTTATCGACGGGTTACTGAGTTCACGAAGTGGCAGTAGGGTTAGATAACGATAATGTATTTAAACATCTAATTCTAATCTTATTAGAGCCTATTTTATTCCATTCAGGGTGGATTCGACCAAACAAGAGTAAATATTAATCTCAGAATAAACTTGTCATTTTGACATACTTCCCATACTGAAACTGTCAATGTGCCAGTCAACAAGTTTGGTCGAATCGGGCCTCAATCAAGAAGACAAATCAAATAGCATACTGTTTATTCTATCCCACCAAAAACATTATCACAAGTAATTTTTCCAAGACGATACATGTCTCGCATTGTGAAAAAAATATAATCAGACCTTATACTCGTACTTACAGCCAAGCTTTAAACTCTACAACCACACAATTTCTATTCCTTCGTAAAAATTTATGGCACGACCGTTTCGCTATCGTCACATCAGCATATTAAGATGAAATTTATTTACTGATCATTACTTTACAGTAGTTATTGTAGTAACAAAAAATATTCACTTTTGAGGGTAGGTAGATTCATACCTACTACTTTTCATCTTATAATGATGACAACGAAAGTTATGTCTCTATGTATTTTAAATATTACTTAAATTGGTGGTACCCAGTTCATGTTTGAAAATAGACACAGATGGACCGATCCCACCGTATAGACAAACCCTAGTGTAATATCTACCTCGCATTGAAACTGTTAATCAAAGACAATCAAAGCTTATTGGCTGGTTTTGTTCATTCACTCAAATTCACACGTTTTCATAACTTCGTATTATATGTTAACTTTTAATTAAATCTTTTTATTCTGGATGAGCTAGCGTATCTATACAAATATTTAAACGCGAAAGAAATGGAAATTCAAGTTCTTTGTTGCTTTTTTAAGGATGTTTGTTACTACTTCGCACAAATTGAAACTAAATAAATGAATAAAAACTCACGTATTGCTTGGATTTTGATAGAGCTCAACGAGGTTATAGGTTAAATAAACACCAGAATAGCACACTAGCATGAGGAGATCCGTAAACGAACTAAAGTCGCTGACATAGCCCGACGAATCAGCAAGCTGAAGTGGCAGTGGGAAGGGCACATAGTACGCAGAACTGACGGCCGATGGGGCAGCAAG